AACTCACTCAATCGAATTCACGCCGGGCAAAAGCCAGGAGGGCAGCGCGGCACCCCCAGCACCTGTCAGCCGTCGGCTGTGCTGCACAGGACCCATCTGGTCCCGGCACTGGGACACGCTAACAGCACAGAACTGCGACGTCAGCCATTTCAGACTTACCATTCCACAGTTACTGGAAAAGCCAGCTTCCTCCTAAGCGGAAGGTGAGGAATATCCCTCTGCCAGAGCATGAACAGCACCGCAGGTATTCCTGCTTTTGTCTGCAACTGCCAGGAACAGCAACCTTCCCATTCTGCTAAATCACCCAGCCTGCTCCCAGCACCTCCTAATTATGTAAACACGACCACGGAGCTGCAAAGGCAAAGCAGCAGCAGATTTTCCGCTTTGTACATTAAGCAAAGCACAGAATTTCATTAATTTCGCAAAATAAACCCATAATGAAGTGCTTCTGTTATTGAGAAATTTCCATCTCGTTCCCTGATCGGCCCTAAATCATAATCACACGCAGCGAGAGCCGGTGCCGCGCACTAGTCGGCACGCTCAGGTGTGCGCACGCTTCCCTCCCCACGCTGCTCCTGCCAGGGCCAACGCGCTCCTCCCTGGGACTGTGCCTTCAGCTGCTTCCCCTATTAAAAAAGGGGGTTTCTTACGTTTCTGTCGTTGGCCAAGAAGATGGATCACCTTAGGCTTAATGGGAAGCATCCACCAAATCCATAGTAACTTCCCAAACCCCAGGGAACGGCCGCGGCCGGGACAGACGCCCCTTCCTCGCCGGCCAGGCGATGCCGAAAGCAGATCCCACGCACTTACTCCCAACCCCATGAACCTGTAGCACATCCAGCTGTACGAAGCGGTATGGAGCACCCAGACACCCTTAAATAATAGGTGTGTTACATCTGAATTCTAAAAGCATGAAAAACTGGCTGTAGAACGCCGCGCTGCTCCATCGGTACCCGGAGCGGCACCGTGATGCACAAACCTGCGATGACGGGAGCCGCGCGGGTGACTGGCTGCCCCACACCTCTCTGCTGGGGGCGAGGGGGGACCGGAGCAGCGGGTGGCAGATGACGCATCACTCGCACCTGCTCCTCGCGAGCCTTTCGTAGCATCATAGCCAGGACCCCAACACTCAGGACTCACTTCCCACATGGGTCTAGGTCCCTTACGTCCCTCGGGCGATTCTCCAAACCTCCAAGATCGCCACGCTTCAGAGCGAAGACGGGAAATAGCTGGATGTCAGGCAGAAGAGGGGAATGTCACTGTCGCCCGTCAGGTGTCGGCGAGCACGCGAGTCGAGATCCCCAGCGCAGCATCGTTAAAGAACTCCTTCCAACGCTACGTACCGCTCACCACACGCAGCCAAGCAACACCCAAGCGCGCAAGCTGCGCGCGGCTGGGAGCGGGGCGTTCCTGCCCTGCTCCCCATGGAAAGCCCAGGCGCACGCAGCAGCTACTGCCGGCCTCTGAGGTGGAATCCTGGCTTTTCCCGGCAGAGCAGGTGAGCACAGAACGCCGTCAGGAACAGAAGCCCTGGGTAGCATTTCACATTTCGGGTGCTTAACTTTCTTCCTCCTTCTCTTACCGTGTCATTAAGTGTTTACAAGGATGATTAATGACTGCGGCTGCCAACTCCATTAATGAAAGGCATCTCTGCTCAAAGCTGCAATCCCACTTTTGGCAAGCGCCGTGCAGAGACAAGGTGACTCCGATACCCTTGAGCCCCTGCGAGCACAGCGGACGGGGGGCTCACAAATTCCAGATAACCCAGCCACTTGACAAAGGCACGGGACATTCCCCGTGGAAAACAGCTCCTGCTGCCCAAATCCATTTGAGGTTACGGAGCTGGCGACCTGTGCCAGCACTGGGGGACAAGGCCGAGGGCAGTGCTGACACGCACCGGGCAAAGCGGAAGCTCAGCCGAGCGCCCGGAGGGACCCGCAGGTGCCCAGCCCTCGTTTGGGATCATCGGCCCTGCTCCTCGTGGCAGGGACTCGGGACCCCACACCCCCAAGAGTGCTGAGCAGCACGGCACGATGGGAAGTCTTTGCTGCACCCGCTCGCTACAACTGAGTCAGACCCGCGGTGCACTAACACGGCGGCGCTTCCAAGTGAACGACGCTACAGCCCAAGGAACTCCTCACACACGCCATTCCTGGCAATTAACTGGCTTGTCCTAACGGGAGGCATCGTATGAAGATCCCCTTCCTATCCTCCCCCACAGCAAGAGAAACAGGCACATGCACACTTTCACAGGCATCTCAAAAAATGGAAATCTGTAATTAAATTGCTTGGCTAAACTTATGATTTTGTATCTCTGCTAAAAAAAACTGCATTAGGAGGAACACTTCCTTCACTAGGAAATATAAAACCGCTATAAACTTGATTTAAGACGAGATGACATCTTGATATGGAAACACATTTCCATCAAACATTGCAGTTTGAACCGCATGATCTGACAGAAAGCAAACAGCCCGGTAACGTCTGCTAAGCCTTTGTAAACGCTCCTTTCCTCCTGCTCAGCGCGGTGTTTTGCTGAGTGCGAAGCCAACCACAACCCAACCCGCTCCGAAACGTTGCTCCATCCCCATGGCTCAACCCAACCATGACCACTACCCTCAATCCGCATCAAGCCCCTTGCGTGCCACGCTGCCTGCCAGCCCCAGGGGCTGGAAACGCACGTGGGCTCCTATCGGAGATCCCCAGGATGCATCCACGCCATTCCCACCACGCTCGCACTCTGGAGAAGCCTACAGGGAGACCTGACACCCGCTGAGTTTGTCCGAACGGGTACGATCCAGAGGGAGAGCAGCAATGCCACAGGCAGGTTCTGATCTGTAAGCTACTTCCTCCCAGTCGGCAAGACCCCTCGCACGCAGCACCAGCGATTCCACAGTCGGCACAGACCCTGGAAGCACCACTGTATAAAACACTCCTCCTGTATCTTCCAGCTCGTGCCTGCACCAGCACGGACACCTGCGTACTCAGATGGAAAACACATTCCCCCAGGAACGGCTCTCAAACGAAACCCAACACTATGATTCAATTATAGCCTAAGAAAAATTCAAGTTTTACAGCACTGAACAGAATTAAACTCCCAGGTTGGGGGTGGGGAGGGAAATAAAATCTGTAAGCTAAGCTCCCTCCTCCCCGCTAATTAACACAAACCTGCCAAGACTTCATCTAGGCTTAAGATTCTGCTTTTCCCCCCTTTGAGCTAACAAGGCCAAACATCTCTGGCCACGAGAAAAGCTCTTCCTTTTAAATAATGCAACAGGCAAACTGCAACGGACACTACGGAGGCTGAAGAGGCAGCGCCAGTACCAACCCCCGTACCAAACCAGCTCCTGCCCCACGGCACGGCAGACAGCACCAGGCCTGGGAGGAAGGAGCCACCAACCGGTGTGACCAACCTGACAGCCAGGGACACGGCGGGTCGGGGTTGGGACTTATGGTACTTGCTGGGGATGACTGGCCACCAATCCATCCGGAAGTAAGGTCGGAGACAACGTCACCCCAGCGATACGCTGGCACGCCCTACCCAAAGCGCTCCTTCTCCAGACACAGCCTTCAGAAGGAAAGCTATGCTCCCAAGTTTTTCTTCTCACGCACCCCCCAAGCGCCTCGGCTTCTCTGTTTGCATCGTGCCTGTGAGTAACAAAGGGTTTCAGCTCTGCGATTAACTGCCCACGTTCCTCGCCCCCGCCGGCCACGCGCGAACCCCGCGGCTGTAAACCCACGTGGCTCTAAGACAGGGGCCACAAGCACTAGAGAAAAGCCGCTAGAAAACTAGCAAGCTGCTTCCAGCACCAAGGAGGAGCAGCATCCTGCCGCAAACCCACGCACGGAGACGGCTTTCAACCCTTGCCGGGAAAACCTCACCCTTTGGAGCTGCGGGAGTCGCTGTGACTGCTTGCCCCGTGAGCGCAAATAAGGTGCACCCGCATCCTCTGCACATCACGTTTCAACCCAAGCGACCCCAGACACAGCCACCTACACAAAGAGCCAATGCCAGCAGCTCCCCAGGAGAGCCAGGGGATCCTGCCGGGGGATCCTGCCACGGGACTCGGAGCGTGACAAATAGATACGCGACTTCAACTTCCGGAGAGGGGCGGAGGATTCCAGCTCTGAAGGCTGCAAGCACGAACCGCTCCACGTGCGATCCTGCGCTCAGCCGGCCACGTGCAGCCCTTGGACTCTCGAGCAGAGCTTTGGTGAGCACGTTTAGGGGTTCAAATGATCGGTCCGAGGCACGAGAACAGCCACCTGCAACAGGCAGGCGCTAACTAGAGTTTCACAGGGATTTCCCAACGCTGTTAAACGATTCCCACGAGGGCAGCAAAGGTGCTGTACGACAGGGCTAACACTGCCCTGCGGGTCCTGCCGTGTGCTGCCAGCCTTGCTGCCCGGAGGGAACGAGGGAAGGGAGTGTCGACCCACTCGGGCTGTTCTTCAGCTGCGCCCTGGCCCACCAACACCTGAATTTCCATTTCAGTGAACAAAGCCGTGCCGTCGAGATTCGCAAACGTTCACATTCCGAGTAACTGGGTCCCAGCCCAAAACGCCCCATTCTGTGTCCCCTGTCCCCAGCAAGACTTCTCGGACAGGACTAAGCCAGCTGTTTCGCAGGACCCTCTTTGGCAGGAACACGCACTGGCTTTTTGGGTGGGAAGATTTACACAACGATAACATTTGGTTTAACAGGGTACCAACACCACCCACCTGATTTTAAACAATTTTAAAGCATGTCAATAAACTGACAGGAGAATTGACTGAGACAAGGGGGACACACTTGAGCAACAGGCTCCTACTGTACCAGCAGTCAGCCTCCACATCCGCCCTCAAGTCTCGCTTAAAGCTCCCCTTCAACACGCGACAGGACTTTGTTGTTTAAAAAAGAGCCAGGAATTAACATTCCGTAAGGTCCGCGGCATGCTCTCAAAACCAATCCACAAGCATCAAGTAAGCAGGCAGGTTAAAGAATAAAGAAGAGCTTTAACTACCTCGTTAGTGTTCCAGCGGTGCCTCTCTTTCGGTAAACTTGAGCATTTTGGTAGACATTCAAGCAGCTTCTTCGGTAAAAAGATTTTTACATGACTGCCATTGCTGTTCCCGTGATCATCTAGAAAGAAGAGGAGAGACGTGATGCATACACGGAGCAAAGCTGGTTTCACCGGGAGACCTCGAATTGGCTCGCCAGAGCACGGGCAACATCTCCTGGCAAACACGGCTTCCGCCTGAAATCGCACCTCTGTTTCAGAAACGTAAATACAGTTTAATTCCTGGCGGCTGCGAAGTTTGAGGAGAGCTCTGATGGATTTGTGCTCGGGAAGCCTGTGTGCGTGCCCACCCGTGCCTATTCCAGCTTATTATTTCCCTCAGTGACAGCTTTTACAAGCAACAGCGACAAAACGCGCTAGAAGCCGTGCCCACAGCGGTGTGACCTGCCTGGAAAGTCGTAAATGAACTCCACACTTGACGGGATTTGCAAGTAAATAAGCACAGAGCCCCAGCACCCGCTATAATTTTGTCAGGCTGCAGCAGTAACGCAACTCAAGGTCTACGTGTTCGTTTAAAACTAGAACGGGCCGTACCTGATGAAACACAGCTTACGTGAGCGTGGTTCCTCAACAGGAGGCTGAGGCAGAGGGATGGAAATCTTCCCCCCTCCCCATACCCAAAATCAGAAATACTGAAGGGTAGCTAAAATTTAGGAGGTGCAGTGATTCCCCTTAAAAACACTGACCTCAAAAGCCCGACAGCTCCAAGATGGCATTTGCGTGGTCACGTCTCCCACCCGCCCAAAGAACCTGCACTGAGGGTGCTCACAGCCCAACCCACCACCCCAGACAGGGAGCTGGTGCCGCAGGGTACGACATCCCAGCTCCGGCATGTGAGGTTTACCAGCTCTCCTCTAAACCTCCATCCCTGCCTTCTCCCACTGCTCTCCCGCTCCGCATGGCGGGTACCACAACCACGCCGGCCCGCTGGCATTTTGACCCGACGCAGCGCATTTACAGCCACTTCCCATTCAAAGTGCACAGAAAGAGAGTATTAACTTTTCCCTTGCACACATCTCATCAGTTTGTCATTAACCAGATCCAGCATCCTGGCAGCAGTCCCTGTAATTCCATACGGCACAGAAACCCCCGTGGCCTGCGGCAAACCAGAGAACCCACCCGGCAATCCCTGGAGCGCAAACCAGCAGCCAGGCATCCCGAGTATTTCCAGAGCTTGATTATGCTCTCGGATGTGTCAAGTTCAACGACGTACATGCTGTTAAATCAACCCCTCGTGCAAGCCCAGCAGATGAGTTTACAAGATAAGCAGCGATGTGTATGATAAACGTGAGCTGCTCTGTAATTTATGAGCCCGGTGCTCCCCGAGTTACCGGAAGCGTTAGGCTACGTCAACGGGGCAGCCAGTTCCGCACCTCGTTCTGGGCAAAGGAGCGGCTGGGCAACATGGATCTTTGCTGAGCTGATAGAGAAATCGGGAGGAAGGTGTTCCCGGCTAATTTTCTGTATCCCACTTGAGGATCTCCAGGCTGACCCCGATGATCCCACTCCAGGATCTCCAGGCTGACCCCGATGATCCCACTCCAGGATCTCCAGGCTGACCCTGATGATCCCACTCCAGGATCTCCAGGCTGACCCCGCTGATCCCACTCCAGGATCTCCAGCCTGACCCCAATGATCCCACTCCAGGATCTCCAGCCTGACCCCAATGATCCCACTCCAGGATCTTCCAGGCTGACCCCGATGATCCCACTCCAGGATCTCCAGCCTGACCCCAATGATCCCACTCCAGGATCTCCAGCCTGACCCCATCTCATACACTACAGGGCTTTTGGGCCACATCCTTGTCCCCAGTCAGGGTTCTGCATGTGTGACTGTCACCTTTGCTCCTTCCCCTCACCTCCGCCTGCTCAAACCTTCACGGACTCATCAGACGCTTGGGCTTACCCACAAAGACACAGACTTGCTCGGGGCAAGGCATGGAGCCGGGCAGGGCCCCACCACCACGGCAGCCTCCGGCCATTCCCATCCGTACTTCCAGGCCTGCCACCCACAGAACATTCCCCGTGATCGCCTTGTACTGTTTTCACTTCTCATTCAAAACCTCGCATTGCACTACGTGCGATTCATTAGGGTGGCGAGGATTTTACAGCACACATTATTGCTTTTATCAGCCGAACTACATCCCCAGTTACATCTCATCAGCTTATTTTCCATGGGCACATTTTAATTGACATTAATTGTATTACTTCCCCTTACCTCCGTATCAGTCAAGTCCTCTATCATTCATCCCATTATTGCGCAGGGCTGGCAGACCTCTAATTATTCAGCTCCTTTTATTAACTTTCTTCCACCGCCATCAATTATCAGTATTATTAATCCAGAAAGTGCCGATGGATAATAGATCCCTCAAAAACCTTTTGGTAGAAGTTATAAGAACTTGCTGACTCTAAACCTTGTTGTTGCACCTCACAGCTCTCTGCTGTTCCAGCCAGGAAGGTCATTCTCACCCTCCCGCAACATGACTCCCTCTCACCGATGCTTCCCTCCTCCGCGTTCTGCCTGACATTTCTGCATCCCATAAAAACCCACAACATGGAAAACAACTACTCCACCCAACTGGCTTCTCATTAAAGATTCCTCCAGGCGTGTCGTCACGACGACACACGAACAGCACGTGATGGGAGATGAATCCTAAATTCAGCGGCCTCTAAAACGGGTTTGACCTTGGAAGAGGACGAAGGTGGCCAAGCAGCTCGGAGGATTAAGGACAAGCGCTTCGCCCCAACGACGCAGACGTGCTTGCTCTAGAACTCCCTTTCCTGCCTGCTGGAGTGGTGCACGATGCACAAACCAGGCACAGGAGACCGGCTCTCCTGGCGCAGGCAGGCCTCGGTCACCCCTCAGTCTCCCCTCCGTGCTTCTGCCTCCTTCCCGAAACGTTTGCCTTCAGCAGATGCCCCAGCATCACACGGGGCCCGTCATCCCCGCCTATGGTACCAGCAGTCCACGCGCCTCCGGATGAACCGCTGCCGTGCTACTCACCCTCCCAGTCGCCACCCTTCCCCTAACACATGTGAATCTTCACGAGGTGGAGAAAAAAGCAGTGTCCTTCGGTTTGAGTGAAATCCGCCATTTCTAGTCAACCGGACGCAGCCACTCACCTACAGCCTCCCAAGAAAGCCAGTGGAGCAGGAACCAAGACTGCTCGGCATCCGCACCCAACTCCAGAGCAACCAGCACGTGCCGGAGGGAATATTTTACATGTATTTAGAACCAAAACTTCCTCTGCAGTTCAAAACCGGAGCTGCACTTTCACACGTCCGATTTACCGTGCAAATCCCAGCCAGGGCCGCACTCCGACTTGCTTCCTCGTCTCATTTTTGCTACGGGTGCGACTCGCGACACCGTGATCTGCAAACCCATCCAGCGTCAATAAAAAGCGCTTCCACGAGCAAAGCCGCGCTGGCACAGGGAGGATTTGCCAGTCAAGCTGTATCGACACGGGGGTGTTTTAGTGCAAAGCCGGCCACAGCTCAAAAACGCTCCCCAGGCACGCACAGCCCCTCCTGAAAACCACAGCACGGACGCCACACGCTCAAATCCAGCAGCCTTGTAACTCGGTATGAAAATCCCCAATTCCAGGCCCAGCAGCGATCCTCAGGATCGTGTCTCAGCACGAAGAAACTCGTGTACAATTAAGAAAGTGCCACTGTCAAAGTTCACGGCAAGTGCCACGTTAATTACACCACATAAACCCTCCGCACCTGGATCAGCTCCTTCATGCTCCTCGCGCTTTATCCTCCCCAGGGATGCAACACGGGCCATAAAGCTTTAAAGCTCACAACAGCAAATCACGCAGCGAGCCTATGGCCTGTCCCCGCTCCCCAAACAACCCCCCTCCTTCTTCTTTAACCGGTTCTTAAATCTCCCGCCATTCAGGAGGCGCATTCGGGTCCGCAGGTCAGGTGACTACCAGACTGCATCCACGTAACGTGTGATTGAGGGGTGCAAAATTGTGTTGATCAAGCGCTGACCCGCAGCCAGGCCTGTGCTGGAAATAAACAACAGCTAAGCCTGTAAAGTCACCAGCACCAGCTTCATAAACCCATTATTATGAAGCAGGAACTTCGGGTTGGCCATCGTCTCAACTGCCTCAACAAGAGAGGTAGAAGGTGTGTAAACGCTACCAACGGGCTCTTTTGTGTAAAACAAAAAGGTAAAACCACAGTGCTGCTGAACGGGAGGGCGTCAGGGTCACCGGGATGCCGCTCGCCACGCTGCGCCTTAAGCCGAGCCGACGCCACTCCGAAGCG